TCATCACTTTTCCTCTTCATCCCACACGCAGGCTTAGCTGTATCCAGAAGCTTGCTCCCCCTGGCGGCAGCAAATCCAAGGACTTGAACAAGTGCCAGTTTTCACGGAAATGGGGAGAGAAGCCAAATAATCTGAATGGAAGAACCTTGGGCCCCAAATCCTCAGTGTAAAACAGAGTCCACACATCTCAACACCTGTCTCGTGGGAGCGACTCAATCCCATCTGGCCCTTGCCGGAAGACAATTCCCCAGCAGGCCGTCATTTCGGAACTTCAGCTGCAGAAGGAAATAAACTATAAAACTGAAGCAAGACTTCTGTTTTGAGCATCACGGAGTAGCTGGCATCAAATTAACCTGTGGGCCAAGACAAGCTAAAGAAGATCGGTGAAATATCAAAAAAAGCTGTCTGAAGGTATTAAAACCTGAGCAGCAATGGCCTGGGGTCCCTTCTCCTATGAGTAGGACTCAAGGGCTAGCCGGGCTGCCTCCTGAGGGTGAGCTGAGTGCTCAACTGACCACAGGGGATGTGGAGACGAGACCCACTGAGAGCTGACCTCAGGGGATGCGGAGACTGCTGACAGCTGACTGCAGGGGGGCCGCTGGCAGAACCACCAGCCGAGTCCTCCCAATCCTGAGCTGTGGTCATCTGAAGCCACTAAATGGGGGTGGGGGGTGGGTGTTACGCAGCAACAATCAACTAACACAGTTTCCAACACAGCTCATTTCCCTTCTATTTACTCAAATCTTACATTTGTCACTAAACTTAATTTTCTTTAATAAAAGCTCTTCACGCTTCTCAAGCTTATTTGGATGACTTTATGTATGGATGGATGTATCTGTTGATGTTACGCATGACAATCTCTTTTACCTACCGAGATTACCTCTTGTGATTTCTTAACTGTTGTTGCTAGAACATCATCACAACTACTAAACAAACAACTAAACGTAACTTCACCAAACAGTCTCAGCGTAATAAATCTGAAGAAAACATGATCATAAAGCATCCGTTATTGTTAGTCGTCCTCGAGTTTATTCTGACTCAGCAACCCTACGTACAATAGAAAGAAACAGCCTGGTCCTGCACCATCCTCATGATCGTTGTTATGCTTGAGCCCATTGTTGCAGCCACTGTGTCAGTCCATCTCATTGAGGGTCTTCCTCTTTTTTGCTGACCCTCTACTTTACCAAGC